TGGAGGAATTTCATGTTATTGAATATCATGCTCCATATCCACTTTTTGTTTTTGTAGTAATAATTTATTGTTATGAGCTACGAACATTATTTTACCGGCTCTTTGTGCAGTTAAGCGATTCCTTTTTTTAGTATGGATAAAACTGTAAGTACTGAAACTTCTCTCTGTGGCTGCAGATGACGTTGGTAAAGACAGCAGAGCAACAGCTAAATATTTCAACCTCGATTTCAACTGAGTATTTTTACACATTGCTTGCCACCAACTTAGACAGTCTACATTTTTAACTGACATCCAAACGTAGTCGAGAGCCCATAAACCCGATTTGGCGCAATAATTTGTTACATCTGTAAAAATGGCTTATTATTGACAAACTGAGAATGATTGTTGGTGATATTGTTGATAAATTCCATAGCGGCTATGTGTTCTTCATTGTTAAGGTGCTCTCCCAGAAAACAGGGGTCCAAGAGATTCGCGGCAAAATGCATTGGTTCAAGAGCCTTAGGTTTTTTATTTTGTAAGGCGGAGAAGCATTCTTTTTCTTCTGACTTAAGAATCGGCAGACTTGATACACTTTCGTTAAATTTTTGCTCAACGTCTTGAATTTTGAAAAGAAATTTCTTGCAAAATTCGGATTTTTGCGAATATTCGCGATTTTGGGGCCGAATATTTCGGAAATTTCTGAAATTTCCTGCAAAATTCGAATGGAAATATTCGCTACCAACATCACTAGGCATTAGTCTAAGAATGCACTAGTGCAAGCAGATACCATTATTGTTTTATCTTCAGGATATTAATATTAAATATTAAAGCTATAAGAAATATTTGAAATAGCACCGACCTAACACTATTAACTGTGCTATTACTATAGTTAAAATCGTTAGGCATTTCCGCTATTGCATTTTTATTCTTGCGTTATCGGGGAACATTCCGAGCGAATGAATTTATTTTGTTTACCGTCGTCGCCAGTAATTTGTTATGACTGAGATGTTAAAAATTAATCTGCACAAATAACCAGTGCCTATTTATAAAACAATTTTCTTATCGCCGCTGCTCATTCTTACAGCTTTTTTCTAAGTCCTATTGATAAGACGATAAACGTTTATTTTGTTAAACGATTATCGTGTAATTTGATAGGCGTTGCGACGTTGCCACTTGGGCACAGATTTCTTTAAATATTTGATTATAAACTAAAGTTAGGCCATAGATAAAAGAAAATAATCTACTATTAAGATAGATATGAAACTTAATAGTAAAATTTTGGGTCAAAGCGCCCCTCCGTGTTTTTAGTGGGGACTACGTTTAACCCAGCGCCTTCGCCTTTTCTGCTGTAAATGTTTTTTATGTTTATATTTGAATTCAAAGGATTTATTTTTAAAGTTACACTGATATATTAGTATATCAGAGTAACTTTAATAAAACATAAGAATATATATATTTTACAATTTATTTTTTTATTTATTTTACAGAGTTTCATGTAAATGATCGTAAGTCGACTGGCTGTCTAATGAATAGACCGAGATTTATAAATTTTAAAGCGAACGAAAAAAAATCAAACAACAAATACATACCATATATTTTTCTTTTATCAAAGATACATACCTTATCGTCTTTTGGAAACACGTACATTTTTGCAGTTTTGTTAGTTTCTTTGCAAGATGCAACACAACAAGAAAACACCATTTTTACAGTTAATAAATAATAAAACTATTTCTGACTATGATATTTAAAATTTAGATAGATAGAAAATTAAAAAACAAACGAGTATTTGCAAACGCAGGCCCAAATTCAATAAAAATCAAAATTTTTCCTGCGAAAATCAGGTTTTTTTCACTGAAAAGGTATTTTTTGATTTATCAGCAGTCATTGTCAAGTTGACAATATACAGGGTGTTTTCGAATTAGTCTAAAAAAATTATGGCGTGATTCCAAATGTGTTCTTAAAACAATTTTTATATAACCATTAGGTCTGACGTACTTCCTTTCTGATCTACAGGGTGTTAAAAATTAAAAAAAAAAAGATTTTTTTTGCTTAACATAAATGGTACACCACTGCTTTTTTAAAGAAAATATATTTTTTTCTTGACTGGCCATCCTTTTTCAACAAAATTGATCTTTTGAGTTTTTCTTGTTCGTCAAACGGTTGTCGAGAAAAAAATAAATATACTTATTAAGAGCCCGCCTTAAATCTGTACGCACACTGGCGCGATCACGATCACAATCAGGGCAGCGATAACATGAGCGATCATTCCTACAGGATAGCTCACTACATATAGGTGCGGCGGTGAACGTGAACGCGTTGGTGTGTGCTAGAATGATCGCTCATATTATTGCTGCCCTGCTCGTGATCGCGACCGTGATCGCACCAGTGTGCGTACAGCTTAATTCGTTTTCTAACGATTTTTTATTTTTTAGATTTATTAGGAAACACCCTGTATATGCATATCACAGGCAACCAAATAAACTAGTAACCTCTAAAAATTATTTTTCCTACCACTAGCGACATACCGTGTTTTTAGTGTGTACTAAATTATTTTATCAAAATTTCACCATATAAGTTTCCAGGCAATGAGTTAGGCACATCATCTTCCGGCGATAACATGGTTAAAGAATCATGGTTTCTCGGAGTATAAAAAGGGTATTTTGGAGTATTTTTTTTTCATATTTATTTTCTTATTGACAATCAAGCCTGAAAGGTCTGTTGGGTTTGTCCCCTTTCTATGTTTGCGGCCAAACTCGTATCCCTGTGCCCTTCACCAGCTTGTGCATGTCCTTAGCAGGATAGATAGTCATTCTAACCTTCCTTTTCCAAATAGAAAGTTTCGATTGCGATCCAGCGATTCAAGATCTTTATCGCAGAGTTTACAGCAAAGATTTTCTTGATACAGGTTGAGCTTGTTCAGGTAGCAGTTGACAACCATACGTCCTGTCAAAAGACCTGTTGTAATCCGCACTTTATTCTGCTCACGCATTAGCAGTTCCTTCTTGGTTTTAGAATTAGGTTCTTGGATGAAAGCCTTGCTATGCCTGTGCCCCTGTTTGTTTCTCCAGTGCTGTACTAGTGGGTCCCTTTACTGCATTGCTTATTGGCTATACATTTGGGTATCCCTAGTGCCTGGCTACTATATTATTCCGATGATCGTTGCCTTGCTAATTTCTTTGATATAAAAGTTATTTTGATGTAAAATGTTGATTTTGACCTTCTGTTTATCTAAAATGATCATCTTTGATGATCTTCTGTTTATCTAGAACTTTTTATCTAAGTAGTACAGCATTTTATATTATTTTTTATTATTATTAACCAAATTGTTTTTTTTTGTTTCAGGTTAGTGGCCAAATTATAAATCAACATTGCCGTTTTGAGTAAGTATATGAAAAATACTCAAGATTACTCTTGGATTCAGAATCAGTGGCCGGATGAGATCGGAAATATCTCGTAAGAGAGGATTTAGACACTCGCCAAGTCAGTAAGCCACTGGCCATGATATAACTGGCCACGTAAATAAAGCAGATCCCGTCTAGATTTTGTAGCTTTAGCAACAAAAAGATACGTTTTTAAACATCTCTTTGAACTAACGGTGTATTCCGTTGCTTACCTTGGTTATGGTTTTATGTTCCGTTTCTATCGGTTTCCTGAAAGTTTTCTTATTACGGAACACGGTTCCTGAAAAATATCGGTCATAGCCGTCACCAAATTAACCAGCGCGAGAAGGCTGGTTTTTCTGGTTTTGTTTGTCAATCAATGTCATTTATGTGACAGAAATCTAGCAAAATTGGAAGTTCGAGTAAAATTCTCATTTAGTTTCTAAAATTTGTAATCATATTTTGTATTTACATCTAAAAGCAATGGAGGTAGGTAGTAAAGGTAAATAAATTTCATTAACTAAATACCTAGAATGACTTTTTAGGACCATTTAAACTTATCATGCAGCCATTGTTTCTTAAAGTCAGGAACATTTAAAGAAAACATGAAAAACAAGACAACAAGTAATCGTGAATGTTTTGTAAGCTATAAAATATAAATATTGATTAGATTGTTTATTTATTATTGATCTATTTTAATATTGGACCTGCAAATCTTCACTTGATCTGTCTAAGGAGTTAACAGTTCATTAATAAAGTACTTTTCAATATTAAAGTCCATTGAAAAGAAGAAGCAAACGTAAAAGCAGAGAATAGGTACATTAAAAATGCATAAAAGATAAATTTTATAATAGATGTATTATTGAAATTTAGAAAAAGTCAACATTTGACGTTTCCAGTTCCAGTATTTTACGAAAGCGTTTTCCGTATCAAACCGATGTTTTTAAGAACCGCTCTTTACCGTAGTTTACCGGTCTGGTTCGCCTGGTTTTGCAACGGAATACAGCCTTCTAAACGGCAACACTGTAATTAATAACATTTTTATTGATGAAAAAAATGGCAATATAATTAATTATCAACATGTCTTAATATCTAAAGTTTACGTTTGGCGCTAGAAAAAAAATAATGAATCGTCAACTTTCTGGATCGTGGGAATGATTCATTCAGCTTAACTAATGGCCGTCTCATGTCTTAACAGATGTTTTTTAAATTTTTGGAATGCAGGAGTTAACTGTCAGGCCGTTAAATGCCGTACTGTAGCCGTTAACATAATTACTGTTTAAAACTGAACTAAAAACATTTACAATTATTTTACTTAAAACTGTTAAAACATTTCGTCTTTTTTAACATGTTTTTAAACATATTCCTTATGGTTATGATCGATAAATAAATATTTTTCTGAAGTAATTAGAATCATATTAAGTATGGGCGATAATATCGATATATTGAAATATCGATATTATTTAAAAATATTCTTATTTTTTTATTATCTATTTATATATCTATTTATAAAAGCAGAATGCTCTTGCAATTTTCTTTTTTACTATATAATAGAACATTAAGTGACAAAAAATAATAGTTTGGTTAAAGAAATTCATAAAAAAAGAATAGACTCACCTATTTACTTTTTAAAACCGAACTATAAACATTATTTACAATTATTTAACTTAAAAGCTGAAATATTATGATAAATATTTGGATGTTAAACAGGAAAATCTTCGTGTTTTCTTTTAATGTATTGCTCCCCATCGCTTTTAGCCTTTTTACACGTTTTTTCGTCCTTTTTTGGATTTGTGAAATAGCTAACATCTTCATCTGATTCGTTTGAATCTTCATCGTCTTTACGGTCGATGAATAATAGTTTTCTAAAATATAAAAATATGTATTTCTATTAGGGATGTCACAAATGATCGATATATTTAATTGTCGATATTGAAATATCGATAATTTTGAATATCGATAATTTTGAATACCGGTGAAATGACAAGACAATTTCCACTGGTCATGATCTTTTCGATATAGTTAATTATCATTTTAAAATATTTGCAATAATCTAAAACTTACGTAAAGGGTTTTTCTTCGCTTTTTGCTTTTAGTAATCCCCGACACCTGTCCCTAGAAATTTTCAGCGTTGCCAGAGCTGCTAGTTCTTCGGATAAAACAGGCTTGACACCTTTGAAATACTTTTCGTACGACGAACTTGGCTCTGCAGGTGCCACTTGAATAATTTCGGCGGTATTTTCGATCGCTAGATGGTTACGTTTGTACCTGATTTTATCCAGATTGTGGTAAAACCTTTCGAATACTTCACCGCCAGGTTTAAAGTCGGATTCTTCGTAAGAATCGTCTTCTATGGGTAGATCTTCATCGGGTCCTGTAAAATTCAACGGTAAATATTGGGGTGTAGGGAATTGTTAGGGAAATTTTGAGGCCAGAGATTTTTCAAAACTTTCAGTTTTTTTGGGTCACTCATAAAGAGTCTTAATATGAGAGTCACAAAACGCACGTTTAAGACTCTTCAAAGAAATATTAGTTCAGTCATTGGGGATCAAAAAAGGAGCCTGCTTGGAAAAAAGTCCGGAAGTTTTGAAACTTTGCAGGTTTATAGGTTTTGGGGTCCCTAACTAAAATCCGTAAAATGCACATTTTCAGACTTGCCACCGGCGCCGCCATCTTGCCACGATGGCGCCCAAAATCGGCATTTTGTGAATATCTTGAAAACTATCCGTATTTCGCGAAAATTTGTGGATAGCAAAATTAAAGAGAATAAAATTTCCTATAAAAAAGGTTTTATGAAAATTTTCCCTAAAGTCAACCGTTTAGGCACAAAATCCCTGGAAATTTTACAATTTTGCGTAAAATGATATATTATGTATAGTCGATTTTCTGAAATCAAATGTCGATTAGGATTCACTAAAACTAGTTTTAGTTTAGTGCCTTCAATTTTGTCATGAAACAGTGGCGTATCATTAATTCGCTCATTAATTTATGAATAATTAATTGTCGTGCTGTGCAGCATTCATTGCGAACTTACCACCAGGTTCAGAAATGGTCGGGTTGCATTGTACCAAAGATGCCGAAGAATGGGGTTGGAAGAAAACAAAAACAGGCATTACTCCAGTCACAACGTTGAAAGATCCAGCTCCAAAATCCCTGTTGGTATTTTTATCCTGTAAATGCAAAACCAACAACTATGGTAAAGCCGCGGATGCAGAAAAGCAGGATTAAAATATTCAATGATTTGTGCATACTGTAATGGGATATCCTGTGACAACGTCACTGAAGTGTCACTCGACGAATCCGATGAAGAGGAGTTGGACTTGCCTGTAGATATCCCTCTGGCGACTGAAGATGAAGAGTTGGACGTATTGAGAGACCACCCTGATGAGCCCAGCCCAGCAGACACGATCGACTTTGATATCAATGAGCCAGATCCGTCGGGCTTGTGCAGATAAGTAGAAGTTTTGAATTTATCTAGTGGAGTCTGTTCTCCGGGGAGTACACGTTAAAATAAACGCGCCATATACTTTACCTCTTGGGTGGTGTGAAAACAAGTACACATTTTCAATAATTAAAATTAATTATTCATAAATTAATGAGCGAATTAATGATACGCCACTGTTTTATAACAGAATTGAAGAAACTAAACTAAAACTAGTTTTAGTGAACCCTTTTTTTTTGTGTACATAATGTACATTATTAATACTATTGTTCATTCGAAATGGCATTAAGGCCCAATTGCAACAATGATTTAAATTTTTCTTAAAGATAAGTAGAGCTTAGAATGAGCTGTATTTATATTTACTTTAATATTCACCTTAAATGAGGGAATTTGACTGATACAATTTTTGAATTTGAATTGTTTTTAATGATACTAACAATTTTAGTTCAATTTTTAATAAAATTTATTTAATATTAATAGAAATCCAAGAGATTTCAAACCTCTTTTAGCGATTTATAACATTCTCAAATGAATTACAGGTGCCCTTATTTTCTATGAAAATCACACAGCTTTTTTCATAGTCGCTGCAGTTGCTATAGCTATAAAAAACTAATTTTTTAAGGTGTGAAAATTGCGACACACGCTAAATGGACTTGATTTTTCGTATGTCTCGAAGTCTGTGGACCTTTTTGTATGCCTCGATAACATATTGGTGCAAATTATTTTCACCCAAACAAATAATAACCCAAACTATACATTGATGCGGATTGTCTATGAACTCTTTCTGAAGGTCACCGAAACCTGAACGCGTAATTCGGTGTTCTTTCGCATCTGTTATAGGTAATTTGTGACCACGCCTATCGTTTATATTAAATGCTGAAGTAAAGATGAAACTAGGAGGATAGAAATTATACATAGAAATTTATCTTTTTTATTAGTAGAACTCAAATAAAAAAAATCTAAACTAATAAAAAACACGCACATAATTCAAATGAAAATACACTAAAATTACACCGTCTCAAAACATTTATTAACTGAAAACTGAAAATGTAAAATAATTATATTAAATTATAAATTAAGAAAAATACAAATTTTATAATAATTCTTAAATGATTATATCCATTTTCCAATTGTAAAATTTTTATTTGTACGTTTTTTTTTCGTTTTGCAATGTCCATTTCCAATGTATGTTTTATTTGTAATTTTAATGAGACGTAATTTTTTTTTGAATTGTACGATGCTAGGTTAGATTTTTTATTATTTGTATATTTTTTTGTGCTTTTGTTTGTTTTATAAATGCTTTGTTGATGAGGCTAGTTTCGCTTTTTGTACGTTTTTTAACTTATTTACCTGTGAATGGTGGTAAAGGTATCTCCAAGGGATTGTTTAAAACATTCCTTATGTGATCTCTTGATAATAAACACTTCGATAGCAACGTGAAAAATATTATCAACAAAACCAGTATAACAAGCGTTGTTATGAATGCCTTGTGGTCACCGTAGGATACATCTTTGGTTTCGTCTCTTGTATAACAGTTTTGTTGTGTGCAGTAATGATTGGGACAGTTTGATTCATCAAAATAATCTCCACAATCGTTCTTTTCATCACAGATTTTATTTGTTTCAATACATTTGGAGTTTTTCTGGCATAAAACTTCGTTGGGACATGTTTTTGGATAGCAACCTATTTCATCTTGACCATTAGGACAATTCAGAATGTCTAAAAAATATGTTTTGTGTTATTTCGTTTGTCGCTTTTTGACTTAAATAAATATGATGCTGCTAAAACAAGGTTAGCATTTGACCTGCAAGTCCAAGACCAAGATAGTCTTGGTCTTGCATTTGTTTATCACTAAAAGCACTTTATTTTTTACCGTCACATTGTTGTTCCTCCAGGTTATAACAAACGTGCCCACATGAAACAGAACCAACACCACAAGACAAATTATGAAACAACATTCCATTGATGCAGACATCTTCAGGTCTTCTTGGAACCAGACGTGATTTCGAACACTTCAATTTGCTGTACTGGGTGTTTACGATATAGCTTCTGTAGGTCATCATGAAAATAGACATGAATGCTAGCTCAAGATCGATTTTTACTTCGTTGGTTGGTATTGAAACGGTGTTAACATCGGTATAGTTGTTACTGCAGAGGTTCATATACGTTGTCTCGTTATTGGGGCTTTTTATAGAGAAGCAGTTAGTCTGAAAGTATATTATATTTTGAAGTTATGATTGTAAACGCGTAATTAAGAAGTTACTTTACCTGGTTGTCATATGTATTCAGGAATTCATTATTTTCTTGCATGATGTATATCAAATTTATGTAAATTACGCTATTGTGGGGTGTACTGATGGTCCACGAACAATTTTCGTAGAATACGGTTTCTTCATTGGTCTCTATTGTACCTTTCGGGCCTAAAAGTGTCCTAGGTTTACTACAGAATTCTGTTTTATTAGAATTGATAATCGGAATAGATAAAATTAGGATTAGGATTGTAAAAAGGTCACTGGTAGTATTATCTGACATGTCGAATGGAGTAATTTGTCACTTTTGATAGACATGTTTCAAACGTTTCATTCATCAAATGTCAAAAATAATAGGTTAATAACTTTGGTTAGTGATGTTACTGGATTTATACGGTGACCGCGAAAAAATCGTAACAAATGGCAATGTATTGCATTCGGAATTCATTATTAAGATTCATTTAGAACCTCGCAATTAGTGGAATAAATTAGTGGTTTCAATTAACGTAGAAGTTGATTTGGTTGGATAGCCTTTAATTTCAATGTAACCATTCAGAACGTCAAAATTAGTGGTAAAGTAAACGCCACGAATGTTTGGGAGTGATTCATCGCTTGATGAAGTTAGAATCGAAACGCGCGCTATCATTTTTACATTAAAAACGTAAATTTTTACCGCAGACGTAGGTTTTTAAAGGCCCGGTCTAATCATCTACCTGCGCTCCTACTTATTCTAAAATGTTAGCGTGATTGACAAAGACGATACTATATCGCGTTTCTTTGATTGATTCGTTTTTGTGCGTCAGTCCATTGATGTGCTTGCAGTGCGACCAATGGGGCATTCCATTTTATATTTATAACCAAATATATGTTTTGACAAGACTTTGACAGTTAAAACAACAAATTACAACAGATTATATTATTATATTGATTATTATATGACTTGAAACACCACGGCACTGGAATTAAGTTTTATGTGACCTTGAACAGATTAGTTCACATGGTAGCGACCGATGAATCACTCCCAAACATTCGTGGCGTTTACTATAGACATTTTCAATTAGTAGAAAAAGTTATCAAACTTTTAACTTTTTACACTAATCGTACTTCAAAATTTGCGAGAAATGTCATTTTGGCCTTTGATTATCTTCCGTCAAGAGAAATTGTGGTTTGAAATTAAAAGTTGATTGTTTTATAAGCTAAATATTAGGCTTTCTCTATGGATACAACTGACTGCAACCTGTTGCTAGGATATTTTATTAATTTTAATTGTGTTTGTTAAACACTGTTAAACACTGTGAATGATCGTAAACTGAAAATAGAAAGTGTAATTGAAACCACTAATTTATTCACTAATTGCGAGGTTCTGAATGAAGCTTTAGTAAATAAAGCATCATTCAGAACTTCAATTTCTCTTGACGGATGATAATCCAAAGCCAGAATGACATTACTCTCAAATTTTGAAGCATAATTAGTGGTAAATGTTAAAAAGTTTATTAAGTTTTTATAATTGAAAATTGGGTTGGGGCTATAGGCTAGCTCCCTATAACCCGTAAAAGATACAAATGCTAAAAAACCTAACCAAAGCCTCGGAACTGGACGGAAAAATCAAAGCAGACTCAAGCAACGGAAAAGGACAATGAGTTATGGAACATGGAATGTACAGGGCCCCACTAGGAAAATAAATGAAGTAATGATAGAAATTAAAAATCTAAAACTAGACGTCGCGGTAATCACAGAGACAAAGAAAAAAGGACAAGGATCGGAAATCATGGGCCAATATGACCATTTCTACAGAGGAGTATCTAAAGACCGAAGAGCACAATAAGGAGTATCTGTACTTATAAAAAGAAACCTTAGAAAACATGTGCATTCATGGGAAGCTATCAGTGAACGAATCATTAAGAATATGACGACGTGAAAATAGAATAAAAATAAATAGATAAAGAACTAGAAAATAGAGAAATACCTGATTATCTCTGGCTAAATAGACAAGAGTGGAGGTTAGGTGTCGGAAAACGTCGTAGAACGTTCTGAACCGACTTATATAAAACAAATAATTGAAAATTATAACTACTAAGTTTTGACGTTCTGAATGCTGACATTGAAATTAGAGGAACAAACTTCTACCTACGCTAATGGAAACCACTAATTTATTCCACTAATTTCGAGGTTCTGAATGAAGCTTTAAAATAAAAAGTTTTATCTGTGGTTGTATCCTAATAGTAAAATTTAAAAAAATATATTCTTACAGATGTTATCTTTTTATTTACGGCCTAAGATTTATCGTCGGGTTCACTGTAGCGTACCAAAATATTATATCCTCGCTTAAACAATTCTGGCTGACATGTCGAGATTGCTGACCAACATGACAAACACGTCTTACTCGCTTGATAACTTATGGATGTAAGCAACAGGGGCGTACCATATTTTCTTTCTTTCGTTATTAATGATCGGTATGTGTTTTTATGTTAAATAAAGTCCAAAAGCTTTGTTATAATTTATTGAGTACCTAATTCCAGTTTTTTTAGAGCAAAAAAGAGATTGAATGAACCAGAAAAAAAAACGGTCTTTTTGCGCTGATTAATATTGATCACAATAACATACAGGGTGGTCCGAACTGTATTCCGGAAACTTCGGCAGGATATTCTGCAGATAAAAATAAGTAAAAAAGTTGGTATAAATATATGTCCTAAAATGCTTAGTTTCGGAGATACAGGGTGTAGAAGTTTAAATTTAATTTCGATGTTTTCTAAATAATTTCTTAAGCAACGTCAATATTTGGATGAAAATTGGTGTCTGGGAGTTTTTTGACGTGAGAAATTTGATTTTGGTGTCAATATGACTCTTACTAGTAGAGGGCGCCACCTACATGTATTTTAACTGTTTTGAAACGTAATAACTTTTTGTCCGTATATGTATAAAACTACGAGTGAAAAAATATACATCTCTGTGACTTTTTACGTAAAAATGGTCTCTTAGAATGGAAGTAGACAATGCACGTCATTAGTGACGAAAAATAAACACGTTGAGTGGATAGCTTTTTGGGGGATTTGGGAAATTATTATTTTTTTAAATTAATCATAAATTTTTCTGCAAAAAATGATGATAAAACAGTTTCTGTTGAACTTTTGGCACAAAAACATTTCAAATTTATTATTTCAGTCTAATATTTAGTTAACATGTTAAATTTATGTCAATGATGACAGGTATTGATAATTTCGATTCCAAATATCTCGAAAACCATTACTCGTAGCGATTTTTACCAAGAGACCTTTTTCACGTAAAAAACGTCGTAAATGTATATTTTTTTACTCAGTAGTTTTATACAGGTACGGACGAAAAGTTATTACTCTTCAAACCAGTTAAAAATATGTAGGTGGCGCCCTCTACTAGTAGGAGTCATATTGACATCAAAATCAAATTTCTTATGTCAAAAAACTCCAAGACACCTATTTTCATAAAAATGTTGTCGTTACTTCAGAAATTATTTGGAAAAAATCGAAATAAAAATGAAACTTCTACACCCTGTATCTCCGAAACTAAGCATTTTAGGACATACATTTATACGAACTTTTATCTGCAGAATATGCTGCCGAAGTTTCCGGAATAAAGTTCGGACCACCCTGTATATTTCTCAAGAATAGTGATAATTCCGTAATAATAAAAATTTCAGACAAAATATCATAGTAATTGGTCAGAAATATTGGGAGTTTCCTAGGTTTATTATTCTTGTATAAGTTTATTATATTTTACTGGTAATATGCCATACGATCGAAGAAAAAACGGTGTTATAGTTGGCAGGGAAATAACGATCGCTTATTTCCAGGCCAACTTGACGCCTTTTTTTCGATCATATGGTATTTCTAAAATACAAAATACTTATTAATTACATAATACATGAAATAATTTTAGAAAATTTACGTAAAATTCAAAAGAATCAAAAAGACTGTGTTTAACTGAAGTTTATTTATTCTTTTCCGTTTTTAAAAGATTTGTATATAATAAATTCGAGAGTGTTTTGCTTATTTGACGGTTTTACTGCCGGAAAGACGTTTTGGAAGCCCGCCACTGAAATTTGTTACCTGTTTATGGACAGGAAATGGTTCTAAGTAGGATTTTGTCGTGAATATCGATAAGGTACGATTTTACATGGTTTTTAAATTTAATGTCATGGAAGTTTTGTAGATTTTCACATAGAACATCGTTCTATGTCTTGTATTATCTAAAATAGTAAAGGAAATGAGATATTTTAATCTGAAATAGAGAAATTGATGTATTTTGGTGATTGTAGTATTGTAGATGTTTTTACAGATAGCCATGTTCTTGGCTGTTATAAAATAGGTAATCAATATTAATAATTCCTAAAGCGACTATATTTTGTAGAATGTGGTTAGGCGTTCACCGCGACCTTAAAGATCTATTGTCTGCCAATTTTCTTGAGTTATAACTAGTAAAAACCAGTATCTTAGACGGTTTTACAGGGATTAGTTCTCCACCTCCGATATTCGTAGTATCTACCAAAGTTTATGAAACGAATGGTTGTGAATGGCGCACGCAGTGATGAGGTGTTCTGGTATTTCCCCATTTTCCCAACAGAATCTGCATTTGCCGTTGTTTTTAACTTCAGTCTACTGAGCTGTTCATTGAGGAGACAGTGTCCTGTTAAAAAACCGAAGATTGTTCTTAATCTCTCAATCCGAAGATTGTTCTTAATTCAAGTAAAATCTTTAATCTTTCTGTTTTTTCCCATTCCAGGTTACGGATGGAATCTTCCAGGTTTTTGACAATTTTTTTTCAATGACTAAAGAATATAAGGACATGTAACGCCCCTATACGGGCTGCAGCAGAATTTGTGACCTTTTTTTTTGTTTTGGTGGCACAACAATGAGTCATCATTTGATCACCAGCGACAATTTTAACGATTTTTAATAGTTTGTGTGTAGTAAACTTTGTATAAACTTTATTACCATGGTGATTAGTTGTTCAGCTTTCAAGTGTAAAAGTAGCAGCGGTAAGAAAGAGCCAGGAGTTACGTTTCATAGGTAAATAAACAGTCCACTCCAACTTTTTAGCGTTTTCTTATTGAATTCGATAATTATTCTTCAATTTCAATTAACATCTATATGTACTTGATATGTGCTATACGTCGATACTAGTTTTGTACCTTTTGTTAACATTTTAATACGTTTTTTTCGTAATTAATTAGGATGATACACCATAGGCGTAGTCAAAACAATTATCAAAAAATATAAATATTGCTTCAAACAGCTAGGTTAAGAAAAATATGTGCCACGGCACTGTTTGGTAACATCGTCACAATTTGCTCTCGGGTGTTATTTGTCC